TGAAATTAGCTTTGTCTTCAAACCTTAGGGGTTTATGTTGTCGACAGAACATACTATTCACAAGATCTCTGACAAATCCTTGACAACCAATGACCAGTTTCATCTTTTTTGGGGATCACCAGACAATCATAGTCCAGGAATATCACCTACTTAAACACAGAATTGCACATAATTACCGGTATACACCTATTGGCAAATTACATGCGATAACGAGAGACCTAGAAGAGTCCTCCAACTAAACGTGCTGCAGGATACCTAATTCATATTTCAGTTGACACGAAATGCGAGATATCGCAGAATATTTTCTTGGCACAAAAATACGACTCAAGAAAATATGCTGCGACATCCCGGCTACCGTGCCAGCTAAAATCTGGTCTTTTTGCAACAAATTCAGTGGTAGACGATCACAAACGATTCATTTGAGCTTCACATTACAACCAACGTAATTCGCAAATGAATGTATTCCATCACTTTAGGTAGTTACTTCTCTTCAAAACTACTTAAAGACCTATGCCGAGGTGTGTAGTGCCGATCGGGTCTCTTGCGGGTGCAACCAGAAAACGGTTAGGCTTCCTGAATAACACAACTGATTAGTGCACTCGCAAAATCTGCTGGTCTTTTTCCACCATGCGCAGTTCACACTGTTCGAGATTTACCTACCAGACTCCGCACCATGCGCAGTTCACACTGTTCGAGATTGACCTACTACAACTATCCATCCGTAAAGACTAGGGATCAGTTGGTAAGTTCTGGAATCGTTGCATACTAATGTCTCCATTGCGCCCTTGTTCAGTGCCCTTCCAGCGCTAATGGAAAAATACGACAAGTAATGCCCACACTGTGCCCATTGTTCTGTTCCTTTCTCAGCAAAACGGTAGAACTTTCTCACAGTGAACTCTATCCTACCTGTCGACGTTCAGCCTGACGCCCATTCAGTTTCGATAGACTAGGTTTCTACCTTGACCACACGAGTACATCAGTCACTTTAGAAAGTGGTACATGTGTTTACGGCTATGTGCGCCCAGTTGCGTGTTTGAGTTCATGGAATTCACTAACCCGCTTATCCATCAACGTAGTAGACGGCCCGGGTTGTGTGGACGTGTACGGTATCAGAGTTGTTAGCCTCGGCTGGCATTCGGACGTTCGCCCGAACATACTGTACAAACACATTCAAGTGACTTAAGACGTGCACAGAATGTACACCTGTGTCCATAAACTTCTTGTGATCCTGCCAACAGACTTAGGAACAAAGGTCAAACACCGAAGGGCTGGAACGATACCTATGTGGTCATCTCGACAGCAACAAGGCGGTTAAGGACAAGATTGTCGTTTTGTATGTAATTTCGCTCACTGTATCCGCAAAACAGGCCAACGAGTCACGTTGTCTAGACCATCAAAACTGACAACTGGTCAGCGATGAAATAAGGGACTGGTCTCAAATGTGATGGATCAAGACGTTCGTTGTGAAAAACTTCTGTCTTTAACGGAGGAAGTTGCGCGAAAGCTTGAGAAGCCAAGTGACACCATTCATTTTCAGGGGATTTCTGGAGATTAGTACAAGCTAAATGCCGTGTGCCTTCCCCCAGTCTGTTGTTTGGTGAATCCAGTATTACGAAAGTCTGCCTACAGTGATTCTCCTTGAGAGGAAAATCGAGGAACGAGAGGACGCCACTCGACAGTCTCGATCCCATAAGTGCACAGTGATCTGCTCTGGTTTGAGCTCCTGTCGCATTCTGTTCCATCATTGTGTCCGTAGGTAAACCAAAACGGTTGACTGAACCACACTGTCCCAACTTTCAAGAGATTTTACGTAGTTAGCTGACTGTTCAATCAGCTTCGTGGGGTTCGCTTTCGAGCTAAATTTCATTTTCTCTCTCCTCTGGGCTCAAATTACGCTAATGACCGCCTTCTCTGATCAATTCAGAGGCCCTACCACATCCGACAAATAATGTCACATCTTTATTATGAACACACAGATAGAGCATGTGTGCTCAGTTTCTCCAATGAGCGCTTGAGGACATCCACTTTCAGCTTGGGAAACTGTTTAGGAGTGTTTCAAAGGAATCTGTTGATACAGTAGGGTGTAGTTTTCCCAAAACATCCCACTAGGATTCTTCAATCAAAAAACTGGGTAGATAGGAAGTTACCTCTTACACCATCGTTTCCGAGATGTTATCCAGGGTTTCTATCAACCTTGAAACAGATGTTTCCTATCGAAGTAGCCTGTCACCTTACTCATTGAATTGTAGGTCTTTAACAGGTTAACCTCATAAACAACGTTCAAAATCAGGCTTTGGAACATATTATAAGACACGGTGCTTTAGAATGAATCAACACGTAATGTAGGACAAAAGGACTTCGTGTTAAGTAAAAGATCAAGTGAGTCACGTCAATAAAATCATTGTAGTGGACGCCCAAAATAAGCCCTACTTCCCAGTTTACGTGCAACACTTGGCGCTCAAAACAAACGCTACTTTTCTCCGTCGTTTCCTTCGAAACGCTAACTATTTCTTGGTTAGCTTAGCATGCTTGCTGGTTGTGTGTGTAAAGTCCTGTCGCCTAATAAATCCGAGTACGAAAAAAAGTAATAACGAAGCAGGAGAGGCTGTCTCCCCTTCCGTCGCAATCTATTCATCTGCTGAGTACCCCAAAACAAAGCAGTTGCAGTCGTACACATACGCATCGTCCAATTTCGCGGCAACTTCACTCGCCACTTTCTAGTTCGTGTGTTATACACTGTTCGGAACATATGGCTAACACCATCACTCGGGTGTGATCGCAGCCCTGGTGTAAAAGGAATGGACGGACCAGAAACGCGTGTGCATACTGATGTAATAGTTGAGGAGGCAGAAGTAGGAAGTAGTGTGACATGACTGAGTCAAATAGTCTCGTCTACCAAGGCTGAGTGGATACCAGGTTAAAAACAATAAACTGATCAGTGGGTATCAGCGACCAACCAGCCGAGGCAAAGGTCGTCTGACTTGGCAGTTGATTCGATGATAAAGAAGAGTTAAGGATTTCATCCGTTCGAGCTGGCTTATGCCATGTGTTTTCTCCGTATATTATTGGGGTTGAAATGGTACATAAGCTTATTTTCTGGAGTATCATAGTAGAACACTTTCACGGACCTGTATATCCACCTTAGACATTCATGGCTGGTAGGCAGTCGGTTGGGTTCAGCTTGGTGCAAAGATTGACGGGCACATCGAGAACTCGAAGCATGCCAAACGTCAACAAAATGGGTCTGTTCTCCATTGAATATCTTTCAGCACGTTGTAACAAACAATTACCCGGGTGGACATCTGTCCAAACATTGCTGCGTCTACCTGGTTTGAGGGAACCTCATAACGCCGATGCTATTGACAACCAAACTTTCGAATAATGACAAGCAGCGGTACTATACTCGATCGTCTCAACCTATTGGTGGCTTCAGGTAGACGGAAATCACTCAACGGAGTTACTATTTCAACACGACCAACACCTTGGTATCAATGCACCGTTTTGTCAGCCTCTAACGTAGACTTGAGAGTTTTGTTCGGTTGTGTTGGGCAAAGCCGAATTGCACCGAAAATTCGTCGCTCAACGGATATCCGATTCAACCTTAAGAGTTTGAACGCGTACACAGAACCAGGTAAACCTTAATTGTTCAAGTGGGAAAGAGCGCTTTTCGCAGTACCCAAGACACAAACAATGACTTTCGGTATTTATTGTGGTAAAAGATTTGACGGGTTGTGTCGGAGAATGAGAAAACAACGCTAGGTTCCGCGCTTGCATATGAGATTGGCTGTACAGCGTGCACGGGTTCGCGCGATGTTCTTAAGAGCGGCACACGCATCCAGCTATTGGTTTAAAACCTTGTAAAAGAGACGGTCGTTCGGTGTTCTCCAGACTGTAACTGAAAGTATCCCTGTGGGTGTTACTCGATAGAAAGAGAAAAAAATATTCACCAGTAAGGATTGAGCTCCTAGCTCAAGCTCAGGCCAATCTGCATGCCACAGATACCTAGTGTAGCTTTACTTTGTCATATAAGTCACGCTTATTCGTCACCCAACGCACCTGATCCTAGAAGCGAAGATTATGCTACAATTTTTCGCACATCATTTTTTCTATTGAATTTACGGATGCTGAAAACGCACTAACTGCACGCAAGTTAGTGAAAGCATTCAGAGACAACCAAAAATGAAAGGATAAGCCACCAACATACCATAGCACACTAAGATCGAGGAAGCCCGTAAAAACCCGTACCGATATGGGTTTTGAAGATTTGTGACTTGATAAATAACTAAGACAGATTTTATTGACTTCATGGGGGGGGGGGTTGGACGACATTCTGGAGCTGGTCAGAATATAGCCGAAATCCCGCTTGAAAAGCTTAGTCCAGACCACCAATACGTTTACAAACCATTAATTGAGACATACTAACGCATTAACAGGGTGAAGTTGTACTTTAATCAGCTCGCCATCTGAATCAATAAGGAAAGACGGTAGGTAGACAGAAAACCACCAAAGTACAAACGTTAATCATGAGATTCAAAATAACCATTGTTTATCGGGGATTCGAAAAATACCGAATACCCGTGCATTAACTCACTATTTTTGAGCTCATTGCGCGCTAGCCTCGTTATAGCGCTAGGTTGGTACGAATGCTGCCAACCGGGACCACTGTTTTTAGGCAACCAGAATCATTTCAAGCAACATGAAACAAACAGCACACAGACCACATATGGTTGTAAGCAGGGATTTCTTATGGTCGTATGGTCACCCCTTTCCCTTTTTATCTTAACAGGGGCGAACATTGAAAGGTCTGCTTGCACATCAACAATCATTCAGTGCAGAATTCTGCAGAGGAGAGAATCACGGGCACTACGACCTTTATAAACGGAATCTCCTCCTGAAGCACATCGCCGTTGCTCGAGGGTAGAGAATTTTACTAATAAAGTCAAAATAAAGTCATTGGGAACTCTAAGTCAAGCAGTGCCAGCGATTCACAGCTAGAATGAAGTGGAGTGGCTTACCCACATCGTCCTGATTAAACTACGAAATACACTGTTGATTGTTGAGCAGCTAAGTACCCATAAAAACACCGGGGTTACGTAAAAGCCCTTGAATGAGTCGCTCATCCGTGTGTTATTTGTAGACTATTTTGGTGTACAGACAATGCGGTGCTTTTCAGTGCAATTCAGTACACTTTATACGACAATACACAACTGAAAAAGGTCTTTTCGAACAGACCGCAAATTACAGCACATTCACAACTAATTAGGCAACTGCCCCGAATACCTCAAGTTAATATAAAAGCCCATGGCTACTGAAATCTCATACTCGTACAAAAATAATCTTGTGCACAGAGAGTCAAACAGGGATGTCGTAAACAGCGAACTTGTATGTATATCCATTTTCTTCAATCACCTCGGACGGGACTTCGGGTAATCTGAAAGGCAGCGATAGATATAAGTGACGAGAAGCGGAGACGCAGAACGATAAAAAGGGTACTTAGAATCAGGTAAACCACTGCATGGGCCACAGAAAGTTGTGACTTAGTTTGCGAGCGCCAACAGTGATAGCATACTAAGAACCTAAAAGATACTGATGAACGGAATATGCTAGTCAATATTTAAGGAAAACGAAGTCCAGTGACGACTATGAAATTTACACGAACACAGTGAAGCTAAATATTGCACAAAGTTCTGGATTACATACACACAACGGTGGGGAGAACTTTTAATGTGAATATCTAAAGACAAGCTAGCGTCAGAGTGGACGACCACTCTATGAGGACTCTAATCCATAGGCTAAAGGTATGTATGAGTGGAAAATAATCGATCCTACATGAATGACCGGACAACTGTCCATTTAGCAGTGAAACCTCGCTCAGTTAGTGGGGTGAAGCGAGGACACCTCAGCACGAAGCGGGAGAAGGTCCGGGTTACTGAGTCTGTCAGACCGTACCTTGACTCAGCAGTCTATAACTGCGCATCCAACTCACGATGGCGTTGGAAGACGACTGTGGATGGAGGCGCTACATTAGGCTGAAATAAACGGTTCAATCAACATACTTTATCGGTGAATAGATAGCCGTGTCTAGGAAAACGGTTGAACTTTCTAAACGTCAGCAATTTCAGCTGAGTCTCTCATCAAAATGAAATTCGTGTGCGAATGAGATTATTTGTCGAGCTACTCATGCGTTTTTTGGAAGGTCTCTAGAATCTCAACTAGACCGATTAATTGGAAAAATACGAGTAGGTACACACACGTTCTCAGTGTCAAACGGAAACGAATTAGTTATTGAGTTTCTAAGAAAGATGCGATTATTATGGGACGGCTCCCCTAACATGAAAATATTCGTCTTTTACAAAAAATTCGTCGTAGCCCAAAACATGGTTGTTGGGGTAGGGGAGATACTTAAGCAGCCAGGCTGGGCAGTCTCAACCGGGTCAGAAACCTGGTGCCAGTAGGTTGATTGAAGTCGGCTATCATGATGTCCTCGAACTGGATGAAAAAGCGCGAAAATTGTCAGGGCAAAATTATTCTATATATTCTGAATCAGCTCATTCACAAAGACCTACTCGATTTTCTTGAGTTCGTCCCAGTTCACCTCAGGAAAGAATGTGTCACAATCCACATCCTTCATTACATGGGTGCAAAATATCCTCACAGGGTATTTCTTCTGTTCCAAAACGTCCTGTATGAGTAGGGGGAAAGATTTATATAGACTATCAACTTGTAATATCTCGAAAGAACGATTAATTTTTGGATAGTTGCCTGCGTCTGGTTTGGTGGGATGCCATTACCTGTTAAGTGCAACCGAAATCCCAGCAAAAACTGGTTTAATTAATTAAACGACGTTTCAAGACAACAGAGTGGATTTGTGTGGTTGCTGTTATCCAAATAGCCTGTCTTTGGTGCGTTCGCCATCGCCATACTGTCAGGAAGCGTCCAGATACGAAAAGTACATGTGCAGAGAAGGACGCGTTGCCAAGGGAACCATCGGGACCACACGTAACGGATGGGAGGTGCGTTGGCGGAGCTTACCAAACACAGCTTAGAAGCAGCGACCACCAGAGTGGGTGTGAAATCGATCACGGCACGAACACGCCCTTGGCTGAAGAGAATGAACAAGCGAATAACCATAAATGGCCACTTAGCCATCCTACATATTTACGCGGAAGTTTTGTATGTTTGTTCTGACAATACAGCCGTGTTCCAAGTCCTCCGTCTTCTCCTTACAGTGTAGTCTGGCAGGCTCAGTTACGGCGCAACATGTACATATGCTCCCCGCAGAAAGCGTCACGTGACCGGGAGGAACAGGGCTTCTAATTCCAGAGCAGCACAATTTCCACTCAGTGACAGCCGGCTGTTTGTATCAGATGACTTCGTGAAACCTAGCGTCGTATGAGCACTCTAATGCAAAACGTTGACATTAGTGGCGCTTTTACTAAAAAGAAATCTGTTGGTTACTCTCAGAAAATAAGACGAAATCCTCGCGGCAAAGACCGGTTATGACGCAGTATTCGAATATCCATCGACCCTATCTATAAATCATACGAGACAGAATAAGCACTGAGTAGTAGTTCACACAAGTTGTACTGATACAACCTGACAGCAGATGCGCAAGCTGAAATTCAGCCTACACTCCGTCTAACAACTCTAACAGAGATAGCAGATTCGTATCCCCGTTGACGCGACAGTTTTTCGTCTAGGATTCAAAAGTATATGAAGCACAACTTGTGCCGAAAACCCAGCGACCTCCAAAACAGTCGGACTGTTCGTGACACTTAGGTTCTTCGTCCAACCCAATGTACTCGGGATCCAACAATATGGACATGTTCAGTTCTAGAAATGGGGAACAGTATTAAAGTTAATCATGCAAATAGTCATTCTGAAAACCTGTCTGATGAGCAGTAGTAAAGACAAAGGGAATCCTGTGACTGAGCTCCTCGGGAGCCAACCACATTTATTCCGCTGATAATGAGGTTTGCAACTGCACGGTAACTCCACAAAGGATCTGATACGAAGTTCACCACAGCTTTATCTGTCAGGGGCGAGATGGTCCAAGTGCGAATTTA